ACACCTGCAAGGAYGCTGTTATTTCATTTTAAAAGTTTTATATGGTGTATTCTTGTATACAAAATAAAGTCGAACTGCTACTGAACCACATTTGCAGCAGAAAGAAACAAAATTCTCAGAAACCTTACAGTCTGCAGGAATTGTTGGTTTGAGTGGTCAGATATACCTCCCAGTCACACCAAGAGCCTTCTCCAGCCATATACAGACGTTCATTTTAAATGCAAAAAAAAAGCCCACAGAATGGCCTCAATGCTGCCGTTTTCTCTTATAGCCATTTTGACTTGTAGTACTTGGGTAAATTCCAAAAATATCGATGGCAAAACAGACCCMCCACGCATCTGTCCCAGGTCAACATGGGTCTGAACACACACTGCTCATATGGGGAACAGCGGTATCAATTCTAGTATCTAGTATTTCTAAAGAAATCCATAGATTTCTCTTCCTCTCGATCCTATTGTCTTAATTAGCAGTTTAATGGGAAGTGAAAGCAAGACTAGCCAGTTTACCAAGAGCAAGTGCTGTTATTCTATTAAAAAAATAAGTTACTATGGTTATCATAGGGTTGCCGGACATAAACTCATTCCAGTTCTGGATCACAAGGAAATCCCTTCCCTTTCCTCTCATCTCCTCCTTCATGATCCCAATCTAGAAAGAAAGACGACTCATGAAAAAGGAGGGAATATCATGACCTTTATAACATCATAAACCTTTATAAAATGCAGAGTCAGAAAACCTTCGATATTTCCAGCATGACCACGGGATGGGAAGGAAAGAGGACAAGAAATAAGCTTAACTTGCATCAAAGACCTGAACAGCAGCATGTGCAAAACACTGGAGCGATTTATACAGAACAAATATAAGCACTTTTCCTTAACCACACCTTAAAAAAAAAAAAAAAAAAAAAAAAAAATCACTACAAAGGTCCTTCGGAGAACAACCCAGGCCTCCTAAATGCAGCCTTAACAGCAAATCTCAGACTAGAAAACTGCAATGCCTCTTCCAACAAAGATCATGGGCCTCCGGATACCGTCACCTCTGCGTCTGGAGCTCTTCCTGTGGCTGTCATTCTGATCTGTGAAAAAAACACTGGAGCACAGTGGGATTTTTGGAAGGAAAAGGGTTGAGAAGGTGGGTAACCTTCTTGGGGCCACTCTGCATTCAGTTCTTTGTACAAACAGGAAGATGGCTGTTTCTAACAGCTTCAATCTAAACAAAGGTCTGCAGATGCACAGCTTTGACAGATGTATGGCTATAGATTAGGTTACTGCTTCCTTTCCTGTCTCTGATGCATATTCCTGTACCAGAGGCTGGGATATCCAATGTGAAGTGTCATCTGTGATACGATATCATCTATGAACCACTACCCTGGCCCTCAGTTTTCAGCACAGGTTGGAGGAAGAAAAAAAGGGGGGGAAAAAAAAAAAACCCACACTACCACCAACAAAAATGCCAGATACAAAGAAAATAGTCCTTAGTCTTTGCTAGTCTTCTGACTAGCAAGGAGCAATAGGGATCATTTAGAACCATAGTGTGSGCAATGCAGTCACTGGGCAGCGGAAAAGCCTTGCTGAACAGCAAGTAGGCAATAAAGCACTGTAGCACACACTACACATACACTTTTCTCTCCCATTACACAGTGCTACAGGAAAAGCAGCGATTCCAGAGCACTTGGGGACAGCAAGGGACTTTAACCTTCGCCTCCCAGCACAGAGCTGGAGATTCAGCTCCTGGAACTCGAGCCCAGGGGTGACTTGGAGAGGCTCAGCCTCACCTCTCATGGGCCAGGACAGGCTCAGGCAGGGCTGAGGCCGTCAATGAGGCCAAATCACGTTATCTGTAGCCAAGCCCGGCCCGGGCCTGTTGAACTCAYTGCACTCGCGCTGCTCTAGGGACACCCGTCAGAGAAGCTTCTAGAGGCGCCGTTTCCCCGCTCGGCCAGGCCTCAAGGGCGGGTGGAGACGCTGGGAGGCCCCTCGTCCCGCGCGGAGGCCACGGCGAGGGGCGCGGGCCGTGACTCAGGCCCTTCCCCTCAGCGCCCCCGCCGTCTCGATGGTAGCCGGGGACACAAGGGGGACCTGCCGGGGCGGCACGTGGCCCAGGCGGCGCCAATGGCGAGAGCCGCCACCATAGAGAACCCGCCGGACCTGCCGCCCACCGCGCCCGTCTCTCTGCTGCCGCCATCTTGTCGGAGGAGGCTGGGACCGAGCCGGCCCTCCTGCCCCGCCGCCACCGCAGCGCCATCCCTTGCCCCGCTGCCGCCCCCACACAACCCCCGCGCGGCCGCCGCCGCCGYTCGCCGGGCGCCGCGGAGGCCGTTACCTCTAGTGGGCCCGCAGCGAAGCCTAGGCTGGGTACGAGGCCGAGGCGCCCGCCGCCATCTTGGCAAAGAAGAGCGCTCGGCGCGACCTACCCGCATAAGGGCGGCCCCTCCCGCACGTCCCCGTGCCCGGGCGGGTCGCTATGGCGACGGGCGGCGCGCGCATGCGCGCGGCGGCCCCGCC